CCACCGGTGCTAGACTAAGTTTTTAAGACAGAAGAAACATCATAAAGATCCCATCTCAGTTACATGATAACTCCAAAACCCCAAACAGCACTGTGATGGTGACATGTTGCTTGCTTCTAACAGCATGATTTGTGCAGCTAATGTGAGAAAATTTGCATATTATAATAAGGTCTGCTCAGTTTCCTTGGTTACAACAATCTTGCTCAGGTTCTTCATGAACTTTCTGGTGAGACAAGAAACTATGTTAGATTTTCTACCTGACTTAAGATAGGCAACTAACAAAACACCAATCTAATTTCCTCCTTTTCAACAGCTACTTTCACTCCCTTAGCTTTACCACTATTACCCTTGTTCTGTATGGTACTGTTAAGTCCAGGACTCATTTCTGTCCATTCACTACCTTGTTTGTAGTCTATTTTCTATAGTGCTGCCATTATCAAGTCAAGGGCATACAATATTCAGGGAAAGGCAGTTTAAATTCCATAGAATAGCTAAGTGGGCAGGGATAACTGGTCTGACATCTCAGCATTTCCTTTATAGAACTTTCATCAGTAAGTGAGGACAATATTTCCTTTATGGGTCATGGTAGAAACTAACACATAAAAATACCTGAGAGCAGGTTGTTAATTCATGATTATTGTGGTGTGATGATGATGGTGATAGTGGTGATGATGACGATGACCTGGTTTCTGAACACTTTTAGGAGTTATGGTGTTTGATGAATTTGTAGGTATTTGAAAGTAATTAGTGAATTTCTTGTCTTTTTGTTCTGTGAGACCTTATTTTATGCGATGGATATTTACTTTCCCTCTTTCATACATGTTATCAATACTGTTTCTATTTTGTTATTTGTCTAAATATTTCTTATAGAATTTTCCAGAAGCACCAGGTTTTCACAACAGTGTTCCTATATAGGTTCTGACTGGTGCATGCGGCTCTCTCTCTTTCTCAAGTTTTTTGTTTACCACTTCAATGGATATTCATTTTATGTTGGATTTTTCAGACTTTGTTTTCCACAAACAAAACCATATTAACAGGTTTCAGATTTATGTATGCAATTAATGTAGACAATAATTTAGTAGTGTTATTTGTTTAAAATGGATAATTAAAAATTTATAACAAAATGTTGAAAGGGCATAACTACGGATCTTTTCATATCATGCATATGCCAGAATGGGGAATTACAATAGAATGATTCTAAATTATATCCAAGTAGTACTTACTGTGAAAGTAAAATTCTTTGATTACTTCTTTATATACTAGAAGTAGAACAAGTAGTTCATTCCTAGAAATTGGTTTGTTCTTTTCCTACTAAACATTGGTTCATACATTGTAAAATTCCTGGTAAGTTTAGTCATTTTTCATGACAGCCTCTAACACTTATGGAACAAAACCAACATACTTTATAATGCTAGCTGTTAAGAATATAACAAAGCTCAACTAGTGTTAGAGAATTAAAAATGCTACTAATGAAATTAATTAGATTTAGAAGAAAATTTCTGAGAATCATACAACCCATTATAAATTTCTCTAATCTAGGTAGGGAGCCAAAAGTATGTGCTTATCTTACTCACCAAATTAATCCTTAATATTAATGATTAATCATCACCCCTGGACCATTTTTCCCCTTTTCATTTGAAACACTTAAGAATCCTAAAGTAAGAATATACTTTTTCAGACCAAAACAACATGGCAAATTGGGGAGGTACCTCAATGGTAGAGTGCTTACTTAGCATTCAGAGGCTCTAGGCTTAATCCCCAGCACTGGAAACAAGCATTCAAAAATCAAAACAAACACAAAAACAAAACTGGTAAACAAAATAATTATATAATGGTCAACAGTTAAGTCCACTGTAATGAAGTAAAGGTTCAAAGTAACAACTCTGAAAATGATATACAGAGCCAATATTGAGTCATTCATTGGGCCAATCACCTATTTAGAAATATTGTCTTGAAAGTTCAAAAATTATTACCAATATTTTAGAAGAGGCCATGTAAATCGATGCAATTCTCCTTTATCATGACTATTATATCTTTCTCCTTAATAAAGGTAAATGTTTACAGATAATTATTTGTCTAAGGGTTTATGAGTTCTACAAATTAAAGCTAAAATGCTAGGAAAGACTACTACCAGCTGATCAAAAATGATCAGGGAAGGGTAAACAAAGGAGGAGGCTGCAATGCTTGATAAGAAATGTACTCATTATCTTGCCCATGTAATTGTAACCCCTCTGTACAGTATTTTCACAAAAAATAAAAATTAAAATAAAAAAATGATCAGGAAAGCATGATTTAAACAGGATTTGACAAAAATATTCAATAAAAGTGTTCTTATTTAAAGCCAAGGAAAAGCAAACTTTGCTTTTTATAATGTACAGAAACAACTGGCAAAAGATCCTACCTTCTGACCTCTCAGTGACAATGAGCTCAGAAATGGATGTGTACATAAAGTCTAGTGTCAGATGAACAGATATCTTGGCTTTTGCACACTTCTAGGGCTAGTAGCTATGCTGGGAAATATCTTAGCCTACAACATGAAGTGAAACAAACTCAACTGTAGGGATTTTTTTAAAAAAAACTGAATCAACAAAAAGGTGCTAATTCTGTGTTATCATGCATTTTCAATACTGAATAGTAAAATGATAGTTTTTTTTTAGCTGTTTTACCTAGTTCATACTCTATATCTTCTTTCATAGGTACTTAACCCATTCGGGTACTATGGGAAAGAAGAGAACCTCAGAAAGAGATTGTAAGGTCTGCTCCTGGATGGCGAGCAAAGTCACAGCAAAGTCTCCACCCAGTACCTGCGTTACCTAGGCAACTGGGACACCTGGAAGAGGTCACATCTGCATCTGCTGAGGTCACATCTGAATTTGATGTGGCCACACCTTTCTCTGCCCATACCCTAGATAAGGCCTAGCCCAGGCCCAGATGCCCTCTCTTTGCTCTTTTCTAGCTCTTTCTCAGCTCTTTCCTTCTCTTCTCTTTCCCAGCTCCCTTCTCTTTCCTAGCTCTCTCTTTCCCACCTTTCCCAGACGCCCCTTCTTTTCTGGCTCTTTTCTCTCCCTTTCCCAGCTCTTTCCCAGCTCTCTTTCCCAGGCCTTTCCCAGCTGTGTGGAGTGCCAACCTGGCCTGGTCCCAGCAGGTCTACTGAATAAACCTACCCCTTACCTGAATACCACATGTGTGGTGCTGTTCTTACTCGACTATCTCTTTTTAAAAACCTAACAGAGATCACACATTTGGCTTTAGTTCCTATCTCCTTTTTTCCTTGTGTTCTCTCACTGTGTTTATGTTTGTCTCACTCTTTCCCCTTTCCTTTTTATTTTTTCTTTAATAAAGAGACCACTTTTTACCCCAGAAATAGCCAGTTTTGAGAATTTTACACTTTACAATCTATCACCTGGCACCATCTTTCATCAGTTTTTGGGAATCTCTGATTCTCTGGTGAGAACAAGGAATGCTTGGGAAACTTTTTTATGTGTTGAAGAAAATACTCAGAGCTTGTACTGTACTCAAAGCAACAAAAAGAAAAAGCAAAGAATAAAGTCAAACACAAGGCATACATCTGTTACAAATGTTACAAGATGCTATTAACAATTAAATTGGTATTTGTTACACTGGAAGGAGTTCTTTTTATTTGAAAGCCTGACAGAATTTTGTTTTGAATAGTGATGAACATAATCCCTTGCTTGAATGTGGGAGAGAACTTTGACAAGTGTAAACTATGGTCTAAGGAAATAATGAGGAAAATCAGACTGTAGATGGGGCTAACAAAATCAAAATCTCCCCATGAAGAAAGTATAGTATATGATTAGACTTGGAGTGATTTATTTGCTTTTATCCTAATTAGTATCATTTAGTTGCAAATAATGGCTTTAACCTCACTGCCAAAGTACTTTTCAAAGATTTTCCTTCGTGAAAACCTTGCATGTGGATAGGCATTGGGCTACAACCACAGTAGCACCTTGCTACTCTTAAGATTTGTTCTCTAAAAACTCCCAACTTTGCACAAAGTATTGATGTTATAAAGGTTAGTTCTTTGCTGGAAAGCAGAACAATTTCTAACATTTTATGATAAAAGCAAGCACACAACATCTGTAAAAGCTATGTGCAAGGAATAAAAATAAACTATTAATTCTCCACCTCTTCATGAATGTGTTTTATGCATCTCGAAGTCTCCTTTCCAACAAGCTGCTAGAGCGACACAACACATAAACAAAGCAGGAGGAGGCAGAGTCTGTGCTCTGGGAATTGATGTCACCAACCCACACTGAATTGTTTACATTCGGCTCTTACCAGCCTCCCAGAAAAAGAATTCATTTTAGAAGCACCCATATTGTATTTACTTCTTTTTTTTTAAACCTCTAGCACACCTACAGTCACAATGGCTAAAAGAATAGATTACTGATGGAAATACAATACATGGCAAACATTATAAAACTGAACTGTTCATGTTGAATGAGGCTTGCTGTAATATGATTCAAGGAGGAAAATAAAAGCCCACATATAAGAAAACCCCTTTTAGAAATAACCTGCTAGAAAACTTTGCCTTACTGCTTAAATAAGTACTAGACAAGAAGCTTTGGACCTTTACACTAACTATCAAGGTGTCCTCTAAGAAAAGTGGACCATTTTAAAAGACAAAATAAGGGACTACTTTCCTGAGTCTCACCTAGAGCTAAAGACACAGTAATTATTATGCTCTTATTTTTTCCTTTCTAGTTTTCTTTCTTTGATTTACACTCACACACATGCATACACACCGTGGAACTACAACAATTCACAGCATGTTCAGGCTTCCAACATTTTAGACTTTGCAATTAAGAACAGATGAAATCAGAAGCAGGGGAGTTAGGAGAAGGGAAGGAGAAATGTGAAATGTGTCCTGTGCCCATGAAGGGGTGGGGGTGGGGGCAGCAGTGAAATTCCACCCAGTAAGTTATGCTACCACAGCCGAAGTGAGAGAGTTCAGTTTCAAAGATCCAATTAGATCTTACCTGGTTTTGCAGTTAAATGCACCAACGTGCACCTAATTCTTCATCAGGAACACTACATATGCTGAGAGCGCTAGTATTTGACCTTACACATTTCCACAGGAGAAGCTCCCAAGTAACCTTTAACTTCAATAAAAAGCTGTGTTCATTCTTCTCCTAGTCCTCAACACACAGCAATCTAATACACCTCATCATGTGGTCCGTTGCTATGGTAGCAGCGAATCCAGCTGCTGAAATACAAAAGACTGACAAAAAGTTGCTTTTTTCCCCTCCACCCACCCTGACAAAGTCAGATTTTTTTTTCTGTATGACAAGTCTAGTTTGAATATGTTTCTCTTGCTGACTCAACTCTATGAACAAGGGGGGACAAGACGTGAAAAGAAAACCAAATAACAGGAATAGAATAAAAGGTCTCCCACAGCATTTAAGCTAATGAAATCACCACTAATCTCTTGAAATACTGATCATTATCTCCTACAAAGTCTGCCAAATGAATATGTTTAAATGCCAGTTACTAAATCGATAGGAAATAATCTCACAGCACCTTTAAAACATTAAAAAATACATTAATTTATTCAGTAAACACAGATGCTGAGAACATACATCAGTTATATATATGAAGGGCTAGGTTCGAAGTATTTTTTTGTTGTTTTGTATGTCCCTCCCCCATGGTATAACCCCTGCTCTCACTGTATTTGATGTTGGTATAATTTGTGGAGGGGAAGGGCAAAAACAAATCGTTTAAATAGGGATACAGGTGGATCTATTACAACAATGAGATGTACAAGTTGTTATGTCAAAAAACGAACTTTTTTACAACTTTGGCAGGGGGGTGGTGGTGGTGCTGGAAGGGGTGGAGGGGTATGGGTGGGAGATGGGAAGGGGAAATAAAGGAGGAGGTAACAATGCTTGATAAGAAATGTACTCACTATCTTGCCCATGTAATTGTAACCCCTCTGTACAGTATTTTCACAATAAAACAAAGTAAAAAAAAAAGGGTATTTTTTTTCCTCCACAGAAGAAACTTTCAATCCCAGCTTAGATATGGGAGGTAAACTTCTTCACTTTCTTGTTATCAAAGTCCAGTGTTTAAACATTAGTTCAACAGATTGGTTTCAGTTCTATTTGACAATAATCATAAATTTAGATCTATCGTGATGTGGTTTTTCCAGAAACAACTGAATTGTATTAGAGGGCTTGATCTTAAAAGGAAGACCTAGAGTTTGGGACAGGTTTAACTCAGAACACTTCTGGGTCTCTCCAAAGTCTATGGCGGAGAGGTAAAGAGTCACCTTCAGTTTCCTACTCATTGAAGGAAAGGTTGATGAAGTCTTGGTACCTGGAGCTTCCTGTCACCTGAGTCTTTCCCTATCACTACTTACACCTGCCCCAGCAGGAGCTCTGTCCTCCTGTCCCCTGGGGCCCTGTGTACTATTCCTCAGGCCTCTCTTTGGTTACTGGCTGCTTGCACAGTCTTGCTGTTTTCCCAGTGTATTTCCAATTTCTAAATCATTAGCTAAGGTTTCTCTTGCTGACTCAACTCTGTGAACATAGCTTTCTCTTCTCTCTCCAAACATGGAGTCCCTGAGGACAAAGAACTTTGTTCCATTCCTCTTTCTGTCTCAGATAACTGGAAAAAGATTTTGGTGTAGGCAGGTCTCTCTGTCAAAACTCCTGAATAGTTAGGAAAAAGAAGCACCAAGCTTTGACTTTGGATTTATTGAGTGCTTAATATGTTTATGGTTTTTGAACTAGAGGACCAATGAGAAAGTTCAATGACACCTGACTTCTCCCTGATGCTGGCATTTATTTTTAACCAGATACACATTATTTATTAGTCAGGTGACTTTCAGTATGAGGTTAGATGACAACACAGAATAAATATGGTGACTGCTTTATGTAAATAGCTGGGGCAGCTGTCTTCATCTCCAGCCCATCTATGAGAAAATGACTAATCCAGACTGCTCCACAACCCACTATGATATGGAATATAGGAAAAGGGTTAGAGTTGGAAGTGGATGTCTTAGATCTTTGATTTTATTATTTTTATTTCTTTACTGTGATTAAGTGATTACATAAGTTTCACAGTATTGTGGCATAGTGATACTTAGCTAAAGTCACAAACTAATTTTAACCTTCACAATGCAAATTGTCATTAACTTCTTGATCTACAAAACATCTTTGATTTTAAATATGAAAGGAAAACATATTACATAAAGCCGTTCATTGCAGTATTTATACTGTATTCATAAATAATGGTCATATCATCTATTAGTGATACTTTCACGAATTAAATGGAGTAATAGGAATCTGCCATGAAAGATATCAGAGTGTTCATAGATTGCTCTGTGTGTGTGTGTGTGTGTGTGTGTGAGAGAGAGAGAGAGAGAGAGAGTTCTGAGGCTTGAATTCAGGGCCTAGATATTGTCCCTGAGCAGTTTTGCTCAAAGCTAGTGCTCTACCACTTGAGCCACTCCTCTACTTGTAGCTTTTTTGGTGCTTCATTGGAGATAAGAGTCTCATGGACTTTCCTGCCCAGGCTGACTTTGAACTTTAATCCTCAGATCTCAGCCTCCTGAGCAGTTATATTACAGGCGAGAATCTCCAGATCCTGCTCCATAGATTTCATTTAAAATAATTTATTGATAGTAGATTAATAGCAGTCTTTAAAAGGAGGTGGCTTTTTTTGTTATACTGGAGCTTGAAATCTAGGCTTGGCAACTGCTAGGCAAGCACTCTATCACTCAAGCCATCCCAAATCCATTTGCTTTTACTGTTTTTTTTTTTTTTTGGTCCGGTCGTGGGGCCTGAACTCTGGGCCTGAGCACTGTCCCTCAGCTCTTCAGCTCAAGGCTAGCGCTCTACCACTTGAGCCACAGCACCACTTCCGGCTTTTTTCTTTTTGCTTATGTGGTGCTGAGGAATCGAACCCAGGGCCTCAGGCTTTGCAAGGCAAGCGCTCTACCACTGAGCCACCTTCCCAGCCCTGCTTTTACTGTTTTTGAGGTAGGGTCTCACATTTCTGCTCAGGCTGGTCTTGGACCATGTTCCTGCAATAATTGCTTCTCAAGTAGCTGGGATTACAGAGCTGACCTACTATTCCTAGCTTTATTTTGAAAACAAGATCTTGTTTTTTCCTTCCTTCCTTCCTCCCTCCCTCCTTCCTCCTCCTTCTCTTTCTTCCTTCTCTTTCTTCCTTCCTTTCTTCCTTCCTTCCTTCCTTCCTTTCTTTCTTTCTTTCTTTTTTTCTTTCTTTCTTCCTTTCTTCCTCTCTTTCTTTATTTTCTTTCGTTATTTGCTTTCTGTTGCTTGGACTGACCTGGAACCTTAACAGTAAACTCACACCTAAAATGTCACCTTGATCTATAACAAGTACTTTAAATTACTTACCAGTAGAGAGTCTTAACTGCTTTTCTCCATAGATGTCTACTTCAGGAAATTACAAAACCAGTGACACTGGAAAATTAGCATTAAAATCTCCATGAAGATATAATACAAACATCAGCCAGGGGTTAATATAGCTGGATGTCACATACAAAACAAAACAAAAGAAAAACAACCCCACAACATTAATTCCAGATAAATTGCCAGAAAGAATAAACCAAATGTGTAAGTTATATATTACAAGAATTCTCTTTCATTAACAGGAAGAAGGAGAAGAAAAGCCCTACAACAAACCAGTTGAGATGATTAAAATAGCTCTGGCACTGCTACAACCCTCAAAAATCTTCCAGTGTTGTGACTCATGAGGCTCCAATCCTACAAAGTGCATGAGATAGAACAGTCAAAAAGACAAGAAGCAGCCACACTGGCAAATTAGCAGCAGCTAATCTGCTTTCGGGCAGTATGGAGAGGAAAGACTAATACAGCCACAATTTGAATAATTCATACCTCTTCTCATGTATGTCTGGCTGAAGAGTGTTTGCATGCATTGCTTTGGGCACCTTTACCTTGTGCATTTTTGTTGCTACAGACAGTGGCCATTCCATGCATCTAATTCTTCATTTTGTAAACTTTATGAGCCTATGCAGTAACTAGATACTGAAGCTAGAGCATTTAATATGATGGCAAAACATGAGGTGCACATTTTGTCTGATGTTAAATCAGCTCCTTTGATTGTCTCTCCTTATACGACAAGATACAGTGACCTTGATTTCATGAAGTTCAAAACACCCTCTTCCCGTGAACAGAACTTATAACAGAACTTGTGCAGGGTTAGCCACTTAACTGCATAGAAACAATTCAATCACATGAAGTTAAAAGTGTTTTTGTGGCCTATGGGATAATTTGGAAAGTACCCCCAGGATGTCTGTTTGCAGAGCCCTGGTTCCACATCAGTGCCTGGGAGTTTAGGAAGTTATCTGCTTGACTGCTCTCTTTCTGGAGGGGTGAACACCTAATTTCCCACAAACCCCTATGAATCATACCAGCTCAGAGGTTACAAGTTTGAATTAAACCACACAAAATGTATAGGCTGGCAATGTTCATGAAACAAGCCAAAATAATCGAACCTCTGTAAATGTCATTGTTCAGGTAACATTTTAAAACTATTTTTGGAGACCACAAATGGCCTCCTTGTTAAAGCACTGGTTTATATTAAGAACACTTGTTATCAGCCACACAAAAAGAGATTGTGAGATACCGACTAATTTTTTTTTTTTGCAAGCACACTGATTCTTGGGCTACTGTGAGCAGCTGACCTAAAAATATGAATCATATTAGTATCTATTCTATTTTTGTTCCTACCAAACAGCAAGGCTGTTGATAAACATCTCCATTTGTAACAAAAGCAATATATTTGATTTCACCCTTAATATGTTTTCAAAGTATACACTCTACTTTTGAAATGAATTAATAGAACTTCTTTGCTTTTTAAAAAGATTATCTTTAAGTAGCTGTACAAAGAACTTGTCATTTAACAAAGCAGTTCATAAATATGTTTCTTGTCACACTTTTCAACATTTTCACCCATCCCTCCCCTACCTCGCTCTTCATAATTTTGTAGCAAATACATTGGATTCTTGGTTGCATTTTCTTCCTCTTCTGCTCTTCATTCCTCTACCTTTTTCTCCTTGACCCCCACCCCACACCTTTTGAGTACCTGCCTCCTGGTGTTTTATTTTGCTGAATGTTTATTTTACCTTTTTAAGGAAT